GCTGCCGGCGTGGGGGGTGCTGCTGGAGGTACCTGGGGCGGTGGCCCGGTGGGGAACTGGGGGGCCGGCCGTGGGGCTGGCAGCCTGCCATGCCAAGGGGCCTCGTCTGCAGCTGTTTGTTTGCGAAGGATTTGCAGCTGGTGCTGCGCTCTGGAGCGGGTGCTGCAATCACAGCGCGGGCAGACATCAAAGTGGAGAGCTAACGAATTCCCTGTTATCTCTGACCATTGACAGCTCAATTAGAGCCGGAGAAATGTCAAACGGGGGGAACAGAGGCTTTTCCGAGAGGCGAGGGAGCGGGTGCTCAAAGCTGGGGCTGGGGTGAGGCGGGAGGGATGCGATGGCTGGGCACAGGGCCCTCGGCAGGCAGGAGAGCAGCCAGCCCTTCCCTCAATACCTGGGCGATGCTGAAGGCAGCGCGGGGCCCTGCCAGCCCATCTGCTCAGGCTGCTAACACAGCACAGCCTGCGGCACAGGGGCCCTGATGAAACAGGGGCAGCTCCAGCTGACTCCCGCTCCCTGCCCTGAGCACCAGCCCAGGCTTCGGGCAGAGCAGACAGAGGCAGAGCCCTGGGGTGGCTGCCGGGCAGCCCCTGCATGCTGGAGTGTGGCGGGGTTTGTGACTAAGGGACACGTGCAGGCAGGGACCCAAGTCGGAGGGTGCATCTCCCGCCCAAACACAGAGCTATGGGTCCCATAGATTTTTGGTGGAAACCTGCTGTTCCTGGGGTCCAGAGCAGCCCTGCCAGCCCACACCCCAGAGCAGTGGGGTACACCCAGTGCCACAGAACCAAAGGTTCCCCTTGGGGGGGGGTTGTACTGTCCCATGTACACACACCCATGCATGCACACAGATGCAGGTGTTTGTGCGTGCACTCAGATGCACACATCTGCCTGCACCCCCCTCCGTGCACCCCCAGACACGCACTCAGGCTCATGCTCACGCACCCAAGCATGTCCCCAGATGCCCCCAAGACCAGGCCCTGAGTCCCGGCTCCTTCCTGTGCTGTGTGTCCCCTCCACGTCAGGGCTCGCCTGCCCGCCTGGCAGCGCCCTGCCAGTTGCCATGGCAATGCTGCGCCTGCCAGGAGATGAAGTTTGCTCTCCCACGCCTCAGCGAGGGGCCGAGAGCAGGGGCCGTTCTCATCCGGGGGGGCCCAGCTGTCCCCGCTACCCCAGGCTCTGTCAACCTGCCTGC